TTGGCTTTGTAACAAATTGCCTTGGTTCTTAATTGTCGATGAGTGTTCATGAATCAAAGTCTTTGTTGAAGCCATGAAATCGTTTGTAGAGGCCATAAATTCCTGCAATGACGCTTCCAAGGAGTTAGAATTAGAGTTTGTATTAGAGGAAGAAGTTGTGCCTTTATTATGTTGCCAGGGCATATGCTGGTGTTGATGCTGAAAATTTTGATGTTCCAAACTATTCTGTTGTGGCCTATTTTAATTGTTTGCATGATTGTTGTTGTTAGTTCCTTGATTACCCCATGAAAAATTTGAATGTTGTCACTATCCAGGATTATATGTATTAGGATAAGGATTGTTATTTCTTTGGTTGTAGTTACCCACAAAATTGATGGATTCCTGGTTTTATGGACATTCACTTTCATGATGGTTGTCGCGACAAAGAATGCATACATGACTAGTTGCCTTGACTTCTCTCACCTCATTAGGACACTACAAATTTTTCAATATATTAGTTATGGCAGAAATTTAAGCAAAGATTGAATCCTTACCCTCAATTTCATATGCTCTAGATACTTTTCTACCGGTTCCCAGACTTGTAGTCGGGAATTGATAGTCATTATTAGTTATCCTGTCGAGGATATCGAAGATTTCCTTGAGTGATTTATCAAGCAAAGTACCATTCGCTGAGGCATCCAACATCATTCGAGTATGTGCATTGACTCCATTATAAAAACATCACAACTTGAGTCCAGTCGAGAAATCCATGGTTCACGCACTTGCGAAGCAAACTTTTTGTATCTGTCCCATCATTTGTACATGGATTCATCGTCGCCTTGGAGAAAACTTGCAATGTCATTATGTAACTTTATGTTCATATTGGGATGGTTGTATCGAAGTAAAAAACTTTTACATAGGTCTGCCCAAGATTTCATTGGCCCGAATGGACTCTACTGAGCCAAGTTCTTGCTCGGCCGTGTAGGGAATAAGGGCAAAGTTTAAGCTTCAACACATCTTCATGCACTCCTTGTTTCCTAAATGAATCACACACTTCGAGAAAGGCATGGACATGCTGTCTAGCATCCTCATTAGGCGAGCCACCAAATTGATTGATGGAATTTAGCATGTTAAACATCACCAGTTTAAGTTCAAAATGGGTTGCATGTATTTTAGGTGCCACAATGCCTGGATTGACATCATCAAGAATATGATTTAAGTGGTCTCGTATTGCTCGTGGTCTTACAGTTTCTCTAGGAAGATTATTTGCCACTACGTCAGGATCTACCTGATCTCCTATATTGTTGTCTCCTTGATATTGTAGTCGATTCATATACTCTCTGGCTCGTTGGTTACGCCGTCTTTTTCTGAATGACTATTTAATCTCAGGTTCAAATGGTTCTATTGGTTTACCAGCAGATCTCAGGGTCATGCAACGATAAAAAGCTTCAAAGGAAAATTAAAAAAAAAATTAAACATGTTACACTAAGTAAAATGTGACAGGAAATAAAAATTTGTTATGGCAAATTTTTTTAAAAAATTCTATCAGTTTCCAATCCCCGACAACGACGCCAAAAACTTGATAAACATGTATGATAAGGAAAGAAAATCTGTGCAAGTATACACTGTCGAATCAAGTAATAAAGGGTAAGTGAGTTATCGTCTCCTAAGGGATTGGTAGGGGTTTTGATTTTTCACCACAACTAGAAGTAGGTGCACGAGCTAGTTCCTGAATTCTTGTCAAAACAGAAAAAACAATTACCAATGGATTATACGAACATGTGTCAAAGCGTTGCTAAAGCAAAAGAATGTTGTGAAGTATGGTTATAGAAATATTTGGTCGAGGAAAATAAAATATGCAAAAGTAACAAATAAAAATCACCAAGATAAAGAAAAACATTGACTCAAATATATTCAGAATAACCTCACATGTTCAGACTTTTCACAGATCACTCAGGTTAGTCTTTTTCTATGACTAGAAATTATTCTAAGTCTAGAAGGATTTGTTATGATATGCTTAGGCTGGCCGATATGATTACTGAGTATTATAAGATGGGTGCTATGGTAATACTACTCAGCGTTAACTACAACCCTTGGTTTGTCAGACTGTTGTTGTACCCCTCAGCGTGAACTATAGTCATTGTTTATCCTACTCAAGCGTCTATCCCTTTTAGTCGATTGAAACCCTCTCTTTATCTTTAAGGTAGGTAGGTTAGAACATCACCATCCCGGATCCATTCCATTGTTCACATAGATCTATCTTAATTCTCTAGAATCTAATAATCAATTTCTAGAAAAATGACAATCTCTTGAAAGCTCTTACAAGGTCTAGAAGTGTTTTGCTTAGACATCAGGCCATCTCTCGAAAACTCTTATAATGACAAGGCAAAATATTAAAACAATCAACAAAACAGATATAAGCAAAATCATAATGCATCGTTCATGAACCATAAAATAATTATCTCGGCAAAACAAAAACAACCACCAAGTAAAGTAATTAATGGTGTTCCCAAAGTGTCATCCAAGAGTATCATCATTTAATACAAACCCCAAAACATATTAAAGAAATTAAGAACAAAAGAAGAATGACTCCCAAAACAGGGGCTCTGTCGTGATAGCGCCGCGCCTGCTCTGGCGGCCATCCACTTTCGAGGCATGACCGTCGCTCTACTATAGCCTAGCTATGGAGGGCACCAAGGGTGGTCGGGTTGGAGAACGGTGGAAGGTAAGGTATTGCAACTGCTTACTCCACGCCTCAGGTAAATTTTCTTCTTCCTTGCCCCTTCTTTTTTGGCGGTTGTGACTGGTATTTATTAAGAGAATTTTCCTAGGGTTTCAGTAATTAAATATTCCCTAAATACACGTGTTAACTTGTCCATGGTATAGATGGAAAGGTGGTTGGATATGGTCAGAATTGTACAACTGACAGGTGACATCAATAATTCGTCAGATCCGCTTCATACTTGCAAGGAAAATCTTGCCTTGGCAAGAAAATTTTGTTCCTCACAATCTTTGTCTTCTGTGTTCCACTGACCCTTGCAAAATATATTGTCACGGCTGAAATGTTCCTCCTAAGTCAATTTCTGCACACACGCAACCCACAAAAGCCCCTTTTCCTCAGCAACATCAGTTAAGCCAAAAAAATCTTGCCTAAGCAAAACTTATCCACCACATGCAATTATAACCTAAATGCAACTAATATGCTATGACAACAATGTTTAGACAAACAATAATTTAAGTAAAAGTACTAAAATAGAGTCTTTTTACGGAGTTATCATTCTTGCAGTTAGAGAACGTTCATGCAATTAGAGCCTTCATTGCTTGTATAAATATGTTGTAGTAGTTCTTGAATAGATGAGCAAAGTTTTATGAGTGTTCTAAATATATTCTCTGTGTAGTTTTCTTAGATTGTTTAACATACAAAAATAATATGATTATATTAAAAGTTTTAAAATGATCAAATTAGAAAACAATAATTAAATTTACAACATACACATTCTATAAAAGCTAATAGCAAGATCTTAACAGATTTGATAACTATCATTTTGATTATAGGAACGAAATTTTAAATTTTAAAAATTATATGATTGAAAATAATTAAATTAGAGTATATAAATGACTAATAAGAAAAAATAGTCGGCTTTTTTAGGTTTAGAAAAGATAATGATATAGATGATAATTGTAATTAGAGATAAGGGATAATGCAACAGTGACAGACGTTGATTATGTGAGAATAGGGTACAGTTAGGGTGCCACTGACGACCAGAGAGGTCAAATGGGTGCTAGGGCTTCTGGTTAGAGCTTAGATTGGGTCTGAGATGGTCAATTTGAGTTTGGGATTTAGACTCGAGCACGAACGATTTTTTTTTGTTGCTTTCTCGATTCTCAAAGTTTAGTTATCATTAATTTAGATCGATCTGAGTCACACATTTAACTTTAATGGATAAATGTCATTGAAGATTTTCTGCATACACAATGACTCAAACTCGAATTTGAATGTTTACAATGTGTACATCAATAAAGAATAGAATATCATCATTAAATGTTTTAGTGTAGGGATGAGGATTCGAATTAACGATTCAAATATTTATTAATATTAGATCTGTTTTTTCAGATTCATATAATTTATAGGTCCATACAAAATCACTATCCGCTGATGATTAAGAGTTGATTGAATCTATGTTACTCATGCAAATGCAAGTTAAAAATTCATATATTCAAAACCGATTCCAGATTATAAAATAAAAAATATGTTTTCTTCTAAGGCGATTTGAACTTTAATAATAAACTTTTTTACTAGAATCAAATTAATGTGGATTTAGATATTTAATATATAATGTGGATTTAGAATCAAATTAGAGGCCGTTTTCTGAATTGGGTCAGGCTTTGATAAAACTGTATAAGTCTGGATTTACCCAATTATTATCAATATTTATTTAACATATTTTATATTTATATAATTAAAAACTGAATAAACACTAACCAATATACAAATAGTGTATATTTAAATTTAAATTTAAAATAAAAACATGTATTATATCATGTAATTTTATTGAATTGTTATTAATATTTAATATAATAATATATTTTTTATTTACTAAAAAAATAGACGAAACTTGACGGATTTAAATGTGGATACTTCATTAAAAATATGGTCGAATTATATAAATATATACATATTAAAAGCAGTTCATAATTATTAAAAAAATCTTTATTATTTAAAACTCGATTGATGTCATTACTATTATAATTCTTAGAAGGTTGTGAATTCGAGTGTGTTAAAATACAATTATTTCTGATTTAAAATGAATATTATACTTAACTTTATATCTTTTTGATTAATTTTTTTATTTATATTTAGAATTTATAGATAAAATGAAAATTCAAGTTTCATCACTTGTTGTGAATAATCCATGCATATAATATAAGGATAAAATGGAATTGAAAAAGTTCAAAATACATTTTAAAGGATACATTGAATAAAAAAATCTAATAGACTACTACAAGTGGTAATTAGTATATCACACCTTTGTAGAGCTTCCAAAAGTTAAATTTGTCCAAGATTAAAGTTTGATGAAGCATGTGACACATTTACATCTTGTTGTTTACACTGTACAAAGCATCCATTAAAGCAGAAATCGAAAGAGCAAAAACAAAAGGTGGTTATGGTGAAATCTTGATATTCTTCCATGGCGAAGAATGTTTTCTTCTGCTCTTCAACTAGCTATAAAAATCATTCCTTATTCTTTCCAATCTTTTTGGATTATGATATATATATTTATTTATTATTATGTCATCATTAATGCTTATTATGCATGTTATTTACCTTGTAATTTATCAAGGAATGAAAGACCCGTCATGGACAGAATAGTGGGGAAGTAGCTGGCTAGGGTTGGCTCTGCTTTGGCCACCTTGATCGAAGGCAATGAAAGAAGGATTATAGAACTCAACGAGCCCATTGTTGCTATTATTCTTGAGGTGGTGAGGACCTTCGTGTCCGCTCTGTGCCTTTAGGGTGTCCTTGATCGAACCACATTGTCTAGGCTGCGTTTGGTAGAAAACTTTCGAGACGACCAGCTCACCTTCTTTCTCTTCTTCGTTGTTCCCCAGATGGTACTGGTGCATCACCCAATTTGTTTTCTCCGGTTTTCTTTGCTTCCCGTAGTTGGTGTAAAGCACCAGAATCTTCTTGTACCCCTTGACCCTTCCGCCGATGAAAACCGGTCTCGTCTTGCCGGTTTTGTGCCACCGGGTCTCGCCACCTTCCGTGTCAGTGTGGACCTTTCTTCGTTTCCTTGTCCCCGTCGTGTACGCCTTGGAGGGCCGGTGAAAGAAGTGGCGAACCAGGCCATCTTTGCTTACTCCTACACAAAAGGACCCGGGTTCTTGTCAACGTCATTGACAAATAATACAAACTAAGATGAAATATTAGGGCTGGTTTAGTTATATTCCTTCATTAATATTGCAAATGGGAAAGGCTACCAGGGTTAGTTGGAAGGTTTTCTTCGTGACCTGTATCTTATGGGAAATGCTTGGTGCCATTAGGTTAGTTGGCAGGTTTCTTCAAACAAGGAGAATGGTTAACCATTTCCATCATTTCAAATTTCAAATGAATTTTCAGAATGTTTTCCCAGACATTATTTGAATTGAAGGGTCTGTTTCGTATTCTGAACTGCGCGCATGAATCATAAAATATACATATTCCGAACACGTATGTGTTAAGATCACCTGGCAACTTCTCAGGATGAGTGTAGCAAATCCCATTCTCTCCTTCAATGGAAGGGATGAATTCATCAATAAGAGGATGAAGCTTACGAGCATCAGACCGCACCTTCCCTTCCAAATGTTCAAGAAGCTCTTGATCAGTTGGATCAAACTTCACTCCAGCTGGTAAACCAGGCAAATCATGGATTCCACCCTATAACATAACAACTTTTCGTATAGATTTTTGCAGGAATATTCAACGAGTAAATGACTAAATGTAACAAAGAGATTCATATATAATGAAGTAGATCAATGAACCTGATCACGATATTTGATCTGATGACCACAGGAAGGGCATGTTCTAAGGAGGCAATCTTTGTGCCTTTGAGCAATCACAGTTTTATGAGACGATGGAGGGGAGCTTCTCTCGATTGTTTGCACATCACTGCAATCATTGCACCAAGTCATTTCCCTTTGCTCTTATCTTTTTCCCATTCCACAATGGAGGAGATCTTTGCTTTTCCTTTCTTTTTTCCTTCGCTGCTACTCCAAAATATAAACGATACTATGCGAAGGAAGAGTAAAAGAGGAAGAGGGAAGGAGAGAGAATTAAAAGGAAATAAAGTTGGCTTGTCTCCTCTAAAGCTTTGGTGATCTTGAGGGTTGAGAAGGGAATTAAATTCTCCTTTCACTTTTTAGCAAATACTTTGCATTCAAATGTCATTGAGTACAACCCATTAAACAAACTCGGTAGTAAAAAAGAGTGTTATTTTTTTCTTGAGTTCTTAAGTTCAAGTAGCAATGTTAATGGAATATTGTGTGATTTAAAAAAATTCTAAATAAATACTACCCTAATAGTATTTACGGGAGGTACCTAAAAAATCTAAAGAGACTAACAAAATTCTCCATTTTCACTTGAGTATTATTGTACCGTAGGTTCCATTCAAAGCAAAAGAAGCAGGGGTTGCTTGGACCATAAGTTAAGGTTTTTGCTTGTGTATCAGCATATGGGAAACTTGTAATACAATAAATGTAGTTTTTATGTCTTTTTGTGTGTGGGTGTGTGTTTTAACCTTTGTCTAAAGGCTGCATTTTTGGATTGTTAAAATAGCTAAGTTGAACATCAAAGAAAGCTAAAACTTAAGAGACCGTATTGAATAATAAGAATAGAGTGGAAATGGGGCAATCGAAGTAATTGGCAGAGCTATATTTCACCACCACAGAGAAAGAGAAAGGTTTAAGGTCCAATGTCACCCTGGAGTATTCATAAAGCTAAAATTGCATTCTAATATTATACACTATAATATATATATATATATATATATATATATATATAAACCCATAATTATATTTCTTCGCCTACACTTCTCATGCAATGCAAGAAACCTCTCCCTTGTCTCCTAATGTCTACATGACAAGATGAGAGCATACCATCTAATTTGATATATACAAGTAACGCTAATTTCATTTTTTTTGGAATATTATTCCCTCACCATTTAGCAATAGAAATCTATATTTTCTAGAACTCAAAACCTTAAATCGAACGAATATTGATGAATATATAAGCATAATCACAATACTATACCTTTAAAATGTATTACATGTCATTATTTATTGATATCTAAAAATCTCACTTTTAAGATTATTTTTATTATAAATTATTTTTTAAAAGAAAAAGTGTAACAAGTTAAATTATAATAACTACAACGAAAATCAATCATTCTAAAACATAATTGAACTCATAAATAGAATATATTTCAAATATACCTCATATATAATTGGGGTTAAATCGACTTCAAATGTAAATAACATATTTACACATGATAAAATTTATATTTAAATTCTCATAATTAAGTCAAAATCTCATTAAAAGCAATGGAATATAAGTAGAATAGCATGAATGTTATTAATAACTAAGACAAAATTTCTACAGAGAGTATATAGAAATTTTCGGCCCCAATTTTAGACATTTCATGGTTAAGTGACTCGTCCGATCCGAGTTGGATTTAAATAGAGAACTTTAGGCTATGGACCGATTCATATAAAATTTAGATTATGAATATAAAAGCAGAAAGCAAGAAGATTTTATTTATGTATGGATTCACGGTATAATTCCAAAACGTGTATCATTATATCTTTATTTAGACTGAATATTAGATCAGTCGTTTAAGTATTTATAATTATGCTCTTCATCAAATTATAAATATAACTTATGGTTTATGCACTTTAACTCTGTGACACTTTAATACCTATGACATATATAATATAATTGGTCACTTAGTTTATTATCATACTCTATAATAACATTGTACATAATATTTGTGTACCTTCAATTATAAATTTTAATCTAATATAATATTATACATGAGTTTTGGTTTATTATACTTTTATCCACAAAATTTAATTTGATTCAGTTTACACATATCACTAATATTATTGTCAACATGACACCAAGTGACGTTTGTATATTGCATATACGCATTATTATATTTATCTAATATAAAAAAGTAGATAAGTGTATTTATTTTTAATTTTATGTATAATTAAATTAAAATCAAAATTATATATATTTCAATCAAATCAATTTTTATATTTAATTACATCCAGTCAAACTTTGTGTATTATAATACACAAAAATAATGTGTAAATTTTTTTCTAAAAATAGTTTAGATTATATATTGACTTACACTCTAATTAAAAATTAAGTTATATTTTATTATAATTCTAGTGATTAAAGATTAATTGGACTTTAAAATTATTTAGTTAAATTTTTTACGGAATACAAATTATTGTTGATCAAGTATTTAGATTTATAAATAGAGAGTATGTCTTAGTCTTTATAATTACGAGAGAAAAATATTTTTGAGAAATATAATCCTTTTTGGTATATTTTTAAGATTTTAGTTGTAGAGATAATCTTGTAGGAAAATTGATAAAGTCTTTTGAGATATATCAAATTTTGGCATATATATTAAATTTTGAGATATTTGGGATATAGTGTATTTCTACTCTATGTTTATAGTGGCTTAGTATTATTTTTCACCCGTGGAGATAAGCAAAACCAAATTACTTTAAATCTCACTTTTTATTTGCTATTTGCTTCATGTTGATTTTAACTTTGTTTATCTTTTTTGCTTATAAATTGTTAACAATTTAAAGTAATGTAAAATGTTAAAAAATTAAAAGATGAAAATATGGTATACATTTAAAATGGTAAAAAAAAATTAAAATAGAGTGTACTAAATTTATTAAATTATATTCAATAATCATTTTGGTAAAACTTTTCAAAACTATAAAATAATCTTTAAATTAATCGAACAACTATAAAATATCAGTAAATTGTATCAAAATGTTACTAAATAATTATTATTTTTTATCAAATTATTACAAATTGACCATATAATTTATCTAACTTTTACAATTATTATAAAACTATAATAATTATTCTGTAACAGTTCTATAAATTTAATGACTATTGTGTAACTTTTACAAAGTAAGTGACCAAAATAATCATTTAAATATAATGCAACAACCTCTAATATACTTTACCTAATTGAATAATATTGTCCAGCTCGTCTCCTTCCGGTCCAAGTAGTTGGAGACAGTTACAACGGTCGCTCTTTCCTTTATGTTATGCTATTTCCTTAAACCCCCTTCCAACGAAATCCCCGCAAATATCGAAATAAAGAACCTGCTAAGTAAAGCTAGAGACGCAATGAGCCTAGTCGCGAAGTTGGCGACGGGAAGCGGCGCGGTAATCTCCCAGACGAAGCCTCCACCCAAGTATCCCAAGAAGAAATATCGGAATTGTTGCGGAAGACGACTATCGGATAGAGCAAAATCGCAACTGATAATTTGAGAAAATAAAAATGAAGATAAAAAGAGACACAAAATTTACGTGGAAAACCCCTAAATAATATAGGGTAAAAACCACAGGTAACGGTAGAAGAATTTCACTATGAGAAAAATAGGAATTACAACCTCTCTCGATCTACCAAGGAGAAAGCAATGATAATTCTCTCTTGATAAAAAGGAGAAAACAACTCTCAAGAAACTCTCTAAATTCTCTCTAGTATTGGAAGAAAGCTAGAATGTTTTGGGATGGTTTTGAAGCTAAATGAGCTAGGGTATTTATAGTTGAAGCTTTAAGGACTAATTTGTAAATACCCTAAAGTTTAGTGACTAAAGTTTATAATTCCCCCTTTCATTTTTTTCAACAAATTGCTGCACCGTTTTGACTATGCATCATTCGGTGCATTTGTTTATTTTTTTTTCTTTCAAATTTCAACTTGCACCTTTCGGTGCATTGAATTTTCTACAATCTCCCACTTGAAGATTTGATTAGAACAATCATATATTCACACCATTCTTTCTACCTTGTACCTTCATGTTGCTTACGTTTCTAACAGGCCACAAGAGGATCGACACCAAGTAAATTTATCAACATTGATCGCCTTTGTCATGAAATCTGCTATGTTGTCTTTGGTATGGATCTTCTGCATATCTACCGTCCCTTCTTCCATCTTTTCACGAATGAAATGGTACTGAACTCGTATGTTCTTTGTCCTTGAATGAAATTCTGGATTTCTTGCTAGATGCAAGGCGCTTTGACTGTCACAAAACATAGAGACATACTCTTGATTGTGCCCAAGCCCCTCCAATAGCATCTTCAACCAAATTGCTTCTTTACTGGCTTGTGTAGCTGCTACATATTCTGCTTCTGTTGTGGGTGTAGCCACAACTGACTGCAATTTTGAAACCCAGCTTACAGCTCCACCAGCAACTTTGAACACATATCCTGTAGTAGATTTGCTTTTATCCAAATCCCCTGCATAGTCAGAATCGACATACCCATTTATAAGTAAGTTTGATCCTCTGTAACATAATGCAACATTTGAGGTCCCTTTGATGTATCTTAGGATCCTCTTTACAATATTCCAATGCTCTTTGCCTGGATTCGCCATGTACCGACTATTCACTCCCACTGCTTGTGCAATGTCTGGTCTTGTGCATATCATAGCAAAAATTAAACTTCTCACTACTGATGCATACGGCACTCTAGACATCTCCATCCTCTATTTTTCACTTCTAGGACTCATACTGGAGGATAATTTGAAGTTAATAGGAAGAGGGGTAGAAATTGGCTTACAATCTTGCATGTTGAATCGTGACAAGACCTTCTTCAAATAATTCTTTTGTGAAAGCCAAATCTTCCTATTACTTCTTTCTCGGTGAATTTGCATCCCTAGAATCTTGTTTGCCGATCCCAAGTCCTTCATTTCAAATTCCCTAGCCAGTTGTGCCTTCAATTCTTCAATATGATATTTGTTGGGTCCTGCAACCAACATGTCATCCACATACAACAACAATATAACAAAATCGTTATCACAATACCTCTTTAAATAAGCACAAGGGTCAGCATTAAGTCCGTTGTATCCAAGGCACATAATGAAGGAATCAAATCTCTTATACCAACACCTCGGCGCCTGCTTTAGACCGTACAGAGATTTGTTCAACCTGCAAACCAAGTTCTTCTTTTCTTTTTCTTCAAAACCTTCAGGCTGGAGCATATAAATTTCTTCTTCAAGATTTCCATGAAGAAAAGCTGTTTTAACATCTAGCTGCTCTAGATGTAAGTCCAATGTAGCACACATTACCAAAACTACTCGAACTGTTGTTAGTCGAACCACAGGAGAAAATATTTCATTGAAATAAATACCTTCTTTTTGAGCATATCCTTTGACCACCAGTCTTGCACGATACCTCTCAACTTGATCGTCACCATTTCGCTTGATTTTGAAGACCCGTTTGTTACCAATTGGCTTCCTTCCTTGTGGTAGTGGCACAAGGTCTCATGTATTATTTTTATGAAGGGCTTCGATTCCTTGTGGTAATCGCCATCATCCACAGTGAAGCATCTGAGCTGTTTATTGCCTCCTGGTATGTTGATGGCTCACCGTCCTCTGTTAAAAGACAGTATGCAATATTACCTTCTATAACATAATCTGAGTGCCAATTAGGACGTCTTCTCAGACGATCTGATTGACGAGTTGTTGGAACTTCAGAATTCTCTGGTTCTTGTTCATCTTGTGTTGGTTCTGCTTCAGAAGAATCTCTTTGTTCAACCTCTTTTTCCACATGTATCTGAGTAGTCTCTGACTTTTCAGCGCTATCATCGTCTTCTTTTCTTTGTAGTTTATCTTCTACAAAGATAACATCTCTACTGATGATCACTTTGAGAGCAGTGGGATCCCACAAGCGATACCCCTTTACTCCATCAGCATACCCCAAGAATTTGCATTTCCTGGATTTTGGATCCAGCTTTGAGATTTCTTGGGAGTTGTACATCACATACACAATACTTCCAAATATATTAAGGTTTGAATAATCAACTGGTTTACCAGTCCACATCTCCATTGGTGTCTTCAGCTCTATTGCAGTTGATGGAGCTCGATTCACCAAATAACAGGCGGTATTGACTGCTTCTGCCCATAATAATTTTTCTAGGCCTGCATCCCTCAACATTGCTCCTGTTCTTTCTAACAAGGTTCTATTCATCCGCTCTGTCACTCCATTTTATTGAGGAGTGTTCGCCACTGTGAACTGTCTTTTGATGCCTTCTTTCCTGTAAAAGTCATCAAATTCTTCGCTTGTGTATTCTCCTCCATTATCTGTTCTGAAACACTTGATCTTATTTCTAGAATCAAGTTCCACCCACGCTTTAAAGTTTTTGAAAGTGGAAAACACATCTGACTTCTTCTTAATAGGGTACACCCAACATCTCCTGGAGTAGTCATCAATAAATGAGACAAAGTATTTTGCTCCGCCTAGGGATGTAACTGGTGCTTGCCATACGTCCGAGTGAACCAATTCTAGAACACTTTTGCCTCTAGAATTTGATGTGTTGAATTTCAACCGGTGCTGCTTACTTGTTATGCAATGCTTACACAAAGGAAGTGATACCTTTGTTAAGCCTGGAAGTAGCTTTTCCTACACAAGGACTTTCATTCCTTATTCTGACATGTTTCCAAATTTCTGATGCCATAGCATTGCCGAATCTGAACTTCATGAGGCAACAGAGGCTTCTGCTTCTACCAAAGTATCTCCCTTCAGCATGTACAAGTTTGCAGCTATCTTTTCACCTTTCAGCACCACAAGCGCTCCACGGAACACATTCATGATTCCTTTTCGTGTTTCAATCTTGCTTGCATTATTATCCAACAATCCGTAGGATAATAAATTTTTCTTCAGGTCTTTCACGTGTCGCACATCTCGATCAACTTTAATTGTTCCATCATACATCTTCAATTTGATGGTTCCCACGCCAATGATCTCTAAGGAATGATCATTGCAACTATACACAGATCCTCCTGAGACAGGTTCATAATGATAGAACCATTCTCTTCTTGATGTCATGTGATATGTTGCTCCCGAATCAATGAGCCATATGTCTGCATATCTCTTTCTACCTTCCACTGTGGTTGACGCTTCACAATATAGAGCATCTCCATCATCTGAAGTGTTTGCGGTATTGCCTTGTGGATTGGAGTTTTTATTTAGACTCCAACAATCCTTCTTCAAATGACCCTTCTTTCCACAATTGTAACACTTTAAATTCTTTTTTCTCCTCGACTTCGATCTACCATATTTATGACTGCTGCTTTGGCCACGTTCTGTTGATCTCCCTCTCATCGTTGTCATCGTTGTCAATGCTTCTGCTTGTTGCAGATTTACTTGTCTGTCTTCCTTGTTCTTGCGCCTATTTTCTTCTTGTAGAATAGCAGCTGCAACGTCATCGAAGACTAGACTGGTGACATTACTATTTGTCAAGTTGATGATGAGTTGATCATACGAATCCGGTAGACTTTGAAGTAGAAGTTCAGCACGTTCTTGTTCTCTTATTTTACAGCTTAAGGATGTAAGTTGAGAAAATAAAGTGTTCAGCGTGTTTAAGTGCTCCGTCACCGAAGTAGATTCTGGCATCCGAAGAGTGTACAATTTCCTCTTAAGGAAAATTTTATTGTGCAACGATGTGGCCTCATACAATTTAGTGAGATGATCCCATATCTCCTTAGATGTCTTCTTCTCCTCTATGCTTGATAATACTTCATCTGCTAATGCTAGATGAAAGTTTGCCATAGTATTTCCGTCCATCTCGTTCCATTTGTTGTCATCTGCGAAATCCACCGGCCTTTCATTGATAGCCGCTAGACACCCGTCTTTCCTCAGGATGGCCTTCATCTTCAATTTCCACAGTGAGAAATTTCTCCCATTGAATTTTTCAATATCAAATTTTGTTGCCAAAGCTTCTATTATTGATAGCTCCCACTATTTCACTATCGTGAATAGTTCTCTAGAACCTCAAAGAATGGGTAATACCTTCTTATTTTCTTATGTTGGAGGATCTACCTTTTGGTGGCAACCACAAAGACAATAAGCAGATATTATACACTCAGATCTAGCTCTGATACCAATTATTGCGAAAGACGGCTATCAGATAGAGCAAAATCGCAACTGATAATTTGAGAAAATAAAAATGAAGATAAAAAGAGACATAAAATTTACGTGGAAAACCCCTAAATAATATAGGGTAAAAACCACAGGCAACGGTAGAAGAATTTCACTATGAGAAAAATAGGAATTACAACCTCTCTCGATCTACCAAGGAGAAAACAATGATAATTCTCTCTTGATAAAAAGGAGAAAACAACTCTCAAGAAACTCTCTAAATTCTCTCTAATATTGGAAGAAAGCTAGAATGCTTTGGGATGGTTTTGAAGCTAAATGAGCTAGGGTATTTATAGTTGAAGCTTTAAGGACTAATTTTTAAATACCCTAAAGTTTAGTGACTAAAGTTTATAATTTCCCCTTTTATTTTTTTCAACAAATTGCTGCACCTTTTTGACTATGCATCATTCGGTGCATTTGTTTATTTTTTTTTTCTTTCAAATTTCAACTTGCACCTTTCGGTGCATTGAATTTTCTACAATCTCCCACTTGAAGATTTGATTAGAACAATCATATCTTCACACCATTCTTTCTACCTTGTACCTTCATGTTGCTTATGTTTCTAACAAGCCACAAGAGGATCTACACCAAGTAAATTTATCAACATTGATCGCCTTTGTCATGAAATCTGCTATGTTGTCTTTGGTATGGATCTTCTGCATATCTACCGTCCCTTCTTCCACCTTTTCACGAATGAAATGGTACTGAACTCGTATGTGCTTTGTCCTTGAATGAAATTCTGGATTTTTTGCTAGATGCAAGGCGCTTTGACTGTCACAAAATAGAGAGACATACTCTTAATTGTGCCCAAGCCCCTCCAATAGCATCTTCAACCAAATTGCTTCTTTACTGGCTTGTGTAGCTTCTACATATTCTGCTTCTGTTGTGGATGTAGCCACAACTGACTGCAATTTTGAAACCCAGCTTACAGCTCCACCAGCAACTTTGAACACATATCATGTAGTAGATTTGCTTTTATCCAAATCCCCTGCATAGTCAGAATCGACATACCCATTTATAAGTAAGTTTGATCCTCTGTAACATAATGCAACATTTGAGGTCCCTTTGATGTATCTTAGGATCCTCTTTACAATATTCCAATGCTCTTTGCCAAGATTCGCCATGTACTGACTATTCACTCCCACTGCTTGTGCAATGTCTGGTCTTATGCATATCATAGCAAACATTAAACTTCCCACTGCTGATGCATACGGCACTCGAGACATCTCCATCCTCTCTTTTTCACTGCTAGGACTCATAGTGGAGGATAATTTGAAGTTAATAGGAAGAGGGGTAGAAATTGGCTTACAATCTTGCATGTTGAATCGTGACAAGACCTTCTTCAAATAATTCTTTTGTGAAAACCAAATCTTCCTATTACTTCTGTCTCAGTGAATTTGCATCCCTAGAATCTTGTTTGTCGATCCCAAGTCCTTCATTTCAAATTCCCTAGCCAGTTGTGCCTTCAATTCTTCAATATGATCTTTGTTGGGTCCTGCAACCAACATGTCATCCACATACAACAACAATATAACAAAATCGTTATCACCAGACCTCTTGAAATAAGCACAAGGGTCAGCATTAAGTCCGTTGTATCCAAGGCACATAATGAAGGAATCAAATCTCTTATACCAACACCTCGGCGCCTGCTTTAGACCGTACAGAGATTTGTTCAACCTGCAAACCAAGTTCTTCTTTTCTTTTTCTTCAAAACCTTCAGGCTGGAGCATATAAATTTCTTCTTCAAGATTTCCATGAAGAAAAGCTGTTTTAACATCTAGCTGCTCTAGATGTAAGTCCAATGTATCACACATTACCAAAACTACTCGAACTGTTGTTAGTCGAACCACAGGAGAAAATATTTCATTGAAATCAATACCTTCTTTTTGAGCATATCCTTTGACCACCAGTCTTGCACGATACCTCTCAACTTGATCGTCACCATTTCGCTTGATTTTGAAGACCCATTTGTTACCAATTGGCTTCATTCCTTGTGGTAGTGGCACAAGGTCCCATGTATTATTTTTATGAAGGGCTTCGATTTCTTCTTGTATCGCCATCATCCACAGTGAAGCATCTGAGCTGTTTATTGCCTCCTGGTATGTTGATGGCTCACCGTCCTCTGTTAAAAGACAGTATGCAATATTACCTTCTATAACATAATCTGAGTGCCAATTAGGACGTCTTCTCAGACGATCTGATTGACGAGTTGTTGGAACTTCAGAATTCTCTGGTTCTTGTTCATCTTGTGCTGGTTCTGCTTCAGAAGAATCTCATTGTACAACCTCTTTTTCTACATGTATCTGAGTAGTATCTGACTTTTCAGCGCTATCATCGTCTTCTTTTCTTTGTAGTTTATCTTCTACAAAGATAACATCTCTACTGATGATCACTTTGAGAGCAGTGGGATCCCACAAGCGATACCCCTTTACTCCATCAGCATACCCCAAGAATTTGCATTTCCTGGATTTTGGATCCAGCTTTGAGATTTCTTGGGAGTTGTACATCACATACACAATATTTCCAAATATATTAAGGTTTGAATAATCAGCTGGTTTACCAGTCCACATCTCCATTGGTGTCTTCAGCTCTATTGCAGTTGATGGAGCTCGATTCACCAAATAACAGGCGGTATTGACTGCTTCTGCCCAGAATAATTTTTCTAGGCCTACATCCCTCAACATTGCTCTTGTTCTTTCTAACAAGGTTCTATTCATCCGCTCTGTCACTCCATTTTGTTGAGGAGTGTTCGCCACTGTGAACTGTCTTTTGATGCCTTCTTTCCTGTAAAAGTCATCAAATTCTTCGCTTGTGTATTCTCCTCTATTATCTGTTCTGAAACACTTGATCTTATTTCTAGAATCAAGTTCCACCCACGCTTTAAAGTTTTTGAATGTGGAAAACACATCTGACTTCTTCTTAATAGGGTACACCCAACATCTCCTGGAGTAGTCATCAATAAATGAGACAAAGTATTTTGCTCCGCCTAGGGATGTAACTGGTGCTTGCCATACGTCCGAGTGAACCAATTCTAGAACACTTTTGCCTCTAGAATTTGATGTGTTGAATTTCAACCGGTGTTGCTTACTTGTTATGCAATGCTCACACAAAGGAAGTGATACCTTTGTTAAGCTTGGAAGTAGCTTTTCCTACACAAGGACTTTCATTCCTTATTCTGACATGTTTCCAAATTTCTGATGCCATAGCATTGCCGAATCTGAACTTCATGAGGCAACAGAGGCTTCTGCTTCTACCAAAGTATCTCCCTTCAGCATGTACAAGTTTGCAGCTATTTTTTCACCTTTCAGCACCACAAGCGCTCCACGGAACACCTTCATGATTCCTTTTCGTGTTTCAATCTTGCTTGCATTATTATCCAACAATCCGTAGGATAATAAATTTTTCTTCAGGTCTTTCACGTGTCGCACATCTCGATCAACTTTAATTGTTCCATCATACATCTTCAATTTGATGGTTCCCACGCCAATGATCTCTAATGAATGATCATTGCAACTATACACAGATCCTCCTGAGACAGGTTCATAATGATAGAACCATTCTCTTCTTGATGTCATGTGATATGTTGCTCCCGAATCAATGAGCCATATGTCTGCATATCTCTTTCTACCTTCCACTATGGTTGACGCTTCACAATATAGAGCATCTCCATCATCTGAAGTGTTTGCGGTATTGCCTTGTGGATTGGAGTTTTTATTTAGACTCCAACAATCCTTCTTCAAATGACCCTTCTTTCCACAATTGTAACACTTTAAATTCTTTTTTCTCCTCGACTTCGATCTACCATATTTGTGACTGCTGCTTTGGCCACGTTCTGTTGATCTCCCTCTCATCGTTGTCATCGTTGTCAATGCTTCTGCTTGTTGCAGATTTACTTGTCTGTCTTCCTTGTTCTTGCGCCGATTTTCTTCTTGTAGAACAGCAGCTACAACGTCATCGAAGACTAGACTGGTGACATTACTATTTGTCAAGTTGATGATGAGTTGATCATACGAATCCGGTAGACTTTGAAGTAGAAGTTCAACACGTTCTTGTTCTCCTATTTTACATCTTAAGGATGTAAGTTGAGAAAATAAAATGTTCAGCGTGTTTAAGTGCTCCGTCACTGAAGTAGATTCTGGCATCCGAAGAGTGTACAATTTCCTCTTAAGGAAAATTTTATTGGGCAACGATGTGGCCTCATACAATTTAGTGAGATGATCACATATCTCCTTAGATGTCTTCTTCTCCTCTATGCTTGATAATACTTCATCTGCTAATGCTAGATGAAAGTTTGCCATAGCATTTCCGTCCATCTCGTTCCATTTGTTGTCATCTGCGAAATCCACCGGCCTTTCATTGATAGCCGCTAGACACCCGTCTTTCCTCAGGATGGCCTTCATCTTCAATTTCCACAGTGAGAAATTTCTC